GTCGACATCGACAGCGCCGGCTGTGGTGTCGGCCTTAATGTGCAGTTCGTTGGACTCATTGTGTGGTGATGTGGATGAAGATGGCGTCGGCGAAGAGTTGACTAAATTGTTTGTCTGCGAGTGTGTGTCCGTCTCATCACATCTGTCGGTGATGTCGACATCGATGTCCTCGTCGTCGATGTCATCGGTGTTGCTGTGGATGTTGTTGATGACGGTGTGGTCGTTGTTGGTGTCATTGGTTTGGCTCACGTGACAGTCGTTCACGCGTGCATCGGTGGTGGTGTTGAGGTTTGTCCGCAGATTATCACCCAATTTGTCACTTAAACCAGAAGTCATTACCACTGAATCAGTCATTAGAAGTGCAGATGTCTTCGGCCGCCACACTCTCTATCAGTGGCCACTCAGTCAACACCTGATCCGCCGATGATTTACAACTGTTGGCCTCTGTTAGCACTTCCGGCACAGAAGTGTTGGAACCGTTGATGAAGTCTTCGGCAATTGAATCGTCAAATGAATGCTTAGTTTTCGACAAATGTTTCGGTTTTTGTTTTCAAAACTCCATATTTAGTGCACTTCTCGTGCCTCACATCCACTCCAACGCCTATATGCGGCTAAATGTGGACCACGTTTTGGTACCTTTCATGATCATGGAGTTCACTCTATATAATCGAATGACTAATAGTTACTAAAGGCATTTACTTTCGATTGCATATATTTTGTTTCGCATATATTGACACTTCCTTTCGCATAGATAACGTAAGTAAATTATTGCTAAAATACAACCCCGGTGACCATGTTTAGTTAATTTACCAAGTTTAAAGCTAAGTTTTTATTAATTATATGCATTTATAATGCAAACAATTGTATAATAAAGTGATTGTTTGTGTTTGTGTCCAATGGTTATCATGACTTTTACTCAATTTGTTTCTCATATCATGTTTACAATAACACGATTGTATTGCAATGTAATGTCGATTCCCACCAAATTGTATATTTATATTCACTTTAACTGTAATACATATACAATATTGAACACGTCGTGCAGTAAAGCAAATAATCAGTGAAAAGGGGTTATAAATAATCGGTGATCAGCAGTGAATACAAGCATTAGTTTGACATTTGTTTACTTCAGTTAATCATTGAATTGATCTAAAGATGAATCTTAACTTCTTGAGGAGACAATTATCTCTAAACCCATTGAAATGGTATATAAAATATCATATGACTAATAAACAAAGACATAACCGCATTGTCTTTGTGTCCAATAGCGCACTGCAGAGGTCGCAGGCATTGACCGGCCGTTTGGTGACACCAATGGGTTCTTCATGTGGTGACAGTCGACGCGCGAAACACACGCTTCCGGATCTGCCCTACGATTACAATGCGTTGGAACCGGTCATCAGCGCAGAGATAATGCAATTGCATCACCAGAAGCACCACATGGCTTATGTCAACAACTTGAACATCGCTGAAGACAAACTGCACGCAGCCATCACTGCCAGTATGTCTTTGCGTAGACATTGTCTCCCAGTTTACCACCAATTCTCACGTATCATATGCTCTCTCTCTCTCTCTCTCTCGCTCTCTCTCTCTCGTCTATGTCTAACTGTTACCGCAGATGACATCACAGCACAGGTAGCGTTGGAACCGATGCTGCGGTTCAATGGCGGCGGACATATAAATCACACGATATTCTGGCAAAACCTTTCGCCCAAAGGCGGCGGCGAACCGGAGGGCGATCTCCTCAACGAAATCAAGGAGTCGTTCCAATCCTTC